ACTTGATCCGAAAGTACAATAAATTTCCCAGACACATAAAAGATAGAATTTTGGATGAAGTGACCCCCGAAGTTAGACGACAGCTCCGTGAATCTGAAGAATGTTTCCCAAAAGATGCTTCTTGCATCGTTGCCTCTGGAGACATTTTGAAAATGGAGCTTCTGCAGCACGGAGATAAAGTCCAAGTTGTTCTGCCAGACGGCACACTGGACTATCAAGAGATCTTCATGTTTGGTCACGCTGATCCCAATACAGAGACTTCCTTCCTTGTGTTCACGACTGAGAACCAAAAACATCTATCCATCAGCCCGGGTCACTACCTGTATGTCAAAGGTCAAGATGGGAAGATGGCGATGGTACCCGCCAGGGATGTGCAAATCGACGATGACCTATACACCTACATTCCAGAAAATGGAACCATGGAGTTTTCGGCCGTTACTAAAATCAAGATGGAGACTTTGCAAGGGCTATACAACCCTCACACCAGGTGCGGCACCATTATTGTGAACGGCGTCCTGGCATCGTGCTACACTGAGGCTTTCTCACCAGTCTGGGCCCATCGCCTTCTACAGCCTGTGTGGTTCCTGTACAAAATGGCGCCTTGGATCAACAAAATCGTGGCCAAGGATGGCATGCCCTTGTGGTTGTCTTTTCTTAACATCGGAAAATCTGCGTGGGAGAAGATCGGACTAGCTGCTTGGCAGTAAACAGCGATAGAAAATTTGGGATATGGAGAAAAACTGTGTTGAGTTGATTTGGCTTGAGTGCGGCGACGGTCAATCAAATATCAATTATACATGCTTCTTTTATTTTTGCTAATATGAGAATATTTTAGAGTTTTTAAACATCGCATATTTGGCATCCGTCGCGAAAGAAAAGTGGCGTAAGACCAAGTTTTCGCTTTACTAATTTTGCTAATAGCTTATAGCCGTTGAAGAGAAAAATTGCGTGACGTCAAGAGATCGCTTTACTATAGCAGCAGCAAAATAAAGTGATTGATACAGGGAAAAGCACACGAATGAACAGAAGAAGAGAGTGGAGCGTGTAGTATAAACCTAACACTATATCAGCAGTATCTAAAACAGTGGCATTAGGAGGGGCAGGAGGGCCACGGAAGCAGCAATTACAGGATCATTATATAGCCTGTGGTGGCAACGGTTCTTTTTTAGCAGTAGCAAGAGCAGTAGTGGCAGTAGCAAAGTTTTTTCTCCAGCAACATTAGCAGACATTATAACTATAATCATTATAGCGTCCACGGCAACAGCAGTAGCAATAATAGCCGTGGGTTTTGCACCAGTAGCGGTAGAATTCGCACGTTTTTCGCATAAGCTCTAGCAGCGATAGCAGCGTTTCCTTTTGCATCAGTAGCAGTAGAGGGTGTGGCTTTTGCAGAAGCAGTAGTAGCAGTAGCAGTATTGGTTTTTGCACCAGTGGCAGTAGAATGTGTTGCTTTCGCAGTAGCTGTAGTACCAAAGCGGCCGTGCTTTTTGCACTTTCGCAGTAGCAGCACTAGGAATCGTTGTATATGCAGAAGCAACAGTAGAAGTTATGGCTGCTTAAGTAGTAGCGTTATATATATAGTGGTCGTGGGTTTGCATTAATAACAGTAGAAGACATGGTGCTCGTTTTCGTCTTATTAATACATCTAGTTGTCTTTGCATCTTTTTAATTGTTTAAAACGTTTATCCACCATTGTAGATACAATATGATTTACCTTTCGTTCACTACTTTTCAGCCGATTTTCATTTGACACTTGCTTAGTTGATAAGCACAATTGCTATGAAAGCATTCTTTAAAAAAAGTGCGTAAATTTCGTACGTCTAGTTTTATTTTCTTATTCAATGGCGCACTCTTTTTTCATTTTTTGTTCCTTTTTTTTGGGGGGGGGTGTCTTTGATCTTTGCATACTTATATAGAAAAAAAAGATAAAAGTGAGAAAACCTTGTGTGGCAATAGAGTACACAACAAACCTGTATGGAAAAAAGACGAGCATGTAGACATTTCAATTATTACTAATAAGAAAATCATTGACAAGGGAAGGATTGATTTCAAACAATGTGGCACTCTTTGTTACAAGCCTTGGCACACACCTGTCTGTATTTCTTATGGCGCCTTCTCATTATGTTACTTAAACCACAGATACATGTCGCTCTGCATGCTCCAGCATTTATTTCAACATGAATATATATATATATATATATATATATATATATATATATATATATATATATATATATATTTGGCTTTGAGGCAAAACGTGTCTTCAGTACTCTAATGTCCTTATCTGAGACAAAACGTGTTTTCAGTACTCTAATGTCTTTATCTGAGACTCTGTGTGTGCGTAACACAGACATTTGCCTTAATTTTGAAATTTTGAAATATTTACACAGGAAATGCACAGAAATATACGTTGTAGTTTGTATAATGCATTATGAAGTATGTGACTTTCATCTGAACAAATAACCTAAGATTCCTTTTGTGTCATGCACTGGCATCTGTCAATTTAACAAGAATGTTAGTAAGTACAGTTTTTGTTAGTAAGTACAGTTTTTAAAAATTATTAACTTATGAGAATGTGGGAACCCGTACATACCTATATATAATAACAAGAATGTTAGTAAGTACAGTTTAAAAAGTAATTAATACTCATAAGAATTGGAAACTATATTATATTATATTACATCATATATACTCTAGAAATCTGAAAGTAATGACTTCAAGTGTGTGACTTCTTTAGTTAAACTTTTGATGGTTTGCTAGTGTTTTCGAAGCGTGCTTAATAATAGATAGATAATACACATATTTATGCTCGATAGCTGCTTTTTGGTCAAATCTTAATGCTGCGATTCATTTAAATAAGTTTTTTATCAATTTGTTCTATTTCATTTTTGATGTTCATAAATAGATTCAAGGCATATCTACCAAAGATATCTGTTTATTTTATGGCTGCCAGAGCATTTCTTACTATTAACATAACTGATACAAAAGAATATTTCATTTGTTACATCCCTGTTGACTACATTTAAAAATGTTGAATAAATTGATATAAGACCCACTCACGACTTTTTTTTTAAGTATAATTTACAAATTAAAATTTAAAAACAACCCGAATTCAATGGGAGTTTAAATAAAGCTTGAACCTGTAAAAAAAAGGTCAATATATCAACGCCATGGAAATTATTTCGATAGTATTTTTCAACATCGTTTTAAATTTGAAAAATTGCAGGTACTTTATCCCTTTTGAACGATTTTTACACTAAACATTTGTAGAAAAGGCCTTGTAACTTAACTGTCTTGCCGTAAAGCGCGTGCGGTAAAGAGACAAAATGACCTAGATACATTTTGTACAGAGAGAACAGATCTAGAGACACGGTGCTTCTTTTTCATCCTTTCCTTGTCACGGCCTTATTCCTTGCGATGAACGCAGTCAGTGAACCAGGCACTATTTAATACAGACGCATATTCAGATTCATAGGCACGATCAGATTGACATTTTGAATTCGAACCAATTGCAAATAGGTCTCCAGTAATAAGAAGGTATAAGGTGCGTGTTCTGAATTCGAAATAACGTCGCATTCCTAAATTAGTTTGTGTCACGGCCTTTACAAAAATTTGAGAAAGCCACTTATAATTAATCCACGCAAACATGCCTAGTTAAAATAATGATATGGCAGCAGAGTTCGTTGCGCGTCACTTTCTGTGCGTTTCACCCAGAAACAAGGTGAAATGAAGAAGTTGGAATTCAACGAATTCGGATGACACATCAGATTTTGAACAAATAGCCACGTCGGAATTTTAGCTTATTTACGCGGGCGGACAAATGCTGGCTTTTTTGAAGCAGAAATAATCCAGCCAAATAAGTTCAAAATGTCAATTTGCAATTTTCAGTTGAGATGTTGAAGTGCGTTCTGGGTATCTACCGATGTCAGTCATAACTTTGACTTCATATACTCTATTCCTGTACCGAAGCAAGGCATATACTAAAAATTAATAATTTCTGGGCGACGGGCCTAAGTGAGTAAGTAGTAGGGTCTATCTAGAACGTAAACCATCCGCATGTGAAAATATGCCAAAGTCACATTATCCTACTAGTACATAACCTGCAAAGCTATTTATAGCTTGCCTAGTAATCCCTAAAAAATAATTGAATAAAAGAAAAATAATAAAACCGCACGAATAAAAGTACCAGATGCTGATATTTTATTTTGGAATGTACAGGAACGCTTGGCGGTCAAAAATTCCTGACAATTAAGCCTTTCATAACTGAAGAATCTAATTAGAAATAATACAAAACCTCCAATGGAAGTGCAGGGTAATACCCCCAATCGAAATGTGGGGAATGTTCGAGCAATGATTCGTGAATGGGAGAAAATTATTCTTTTTAAAGGAAAAATCGATTTGTCGGGATAGTTTTCCTTTGATGTGTAAATATCATTATGGCCTCTCTGTAGGCCTTTGTCTTTTTCTAAAGACGATCAATTTATCATTATGGTAGGCCTACTTACAGTATATAATTTCATCATAATCACACTTGCAGTGCTGCATTGATCTAAGAAATTATCGACAGCGCCAGCCGTCATTATTTTCCGCCATAAAGCATAAAATATATAAAGATTCTCGCTATGCCCAACTCTGGAAATAAGCAATAAACCGAAATTCATAGTTTACATATTTTACTTCAAATCTGTGTTCCAGTCCTACCCCCGAATATTTATTTATTTTGCAACCCCTTCTCTCGAAAATTTATTTTGCCTCCCCCTCCCCCCCTCAGCCCTTCATCTATTTTGCGGAAAAGTCTGAGTTGTCCCATCCTCAAAACATTATTATTTATTTGTTTGTTTGTTTGTTTGTAGATCTATGTTTGTTTGTTTTTGTTTCGACATTCTTTAAAAATGCGCCATCAACACAGTCAGCATTGCGATAGTTGAGTAAACATGCAGTAGCTTGACCCAGTTAAGTTGACCCACGCTCGGCTCTCACCTTGATTGAGTTGACCTATTTAAAGCGCAATGGTTGATGTAGACAAGCCGTCGTTTCCACGGCTTCTCTGGCTGATATTTTGCTCAGTATGTCGTGCATTCCGTGGCAGAGTCCTGGGCCAGGCAAGGAAGTCGATAGCGGATGATGTGGTCCTCATAACAGGCGGAGGGAGAGGGATAGGGAGGAAGATTGCCCTGGAGATTGCCAAGTATCACCCTAAACAGGTGCGTGGCTGACATTGAAATATGCTGCAGATCTTCCGCTCTGTTTGTTTGTTTGTTTGTTTGTTTGTTTGTTTTGGATAATCTATCAGTGAGGATCTGTATATAGCGTAATATTGCACCAGTATATAATGGTATAACGTCAGTATGCCTACAATGTATATGCATAATATACATGTACGTACAATGTATTTATTGTTTTAATGTTTATGATATTTCGATTAATCAAATAAATGAAGTTAAAAAAAAAAACACGGTGACATATTTATTTTCCTTTCAGGTGATCTTGTGGGCTCGTTCTCTGGAGTCATTGGAAGTCACAGCGTCAGAAGTGGCCGCTTTGGGAGTTCCTTGTGACTTTATGATATGTGATGTCTCTGACTGTGAACAGGTTTATCAAAGAGTATGTGATATATATTCAACACAATTTTTATTTACCTTTTACATATACGTATTCACATGCATACACACACACACACACACACACACACACACACACACCTAGATTGATGAAAAAATGTGCACATACCGGTAGCATCACGGCTGCAAAACACACACACACACACACACACACGCATGCGCGCACCAACATGTAAAATACAATATATAGATACACATTTGCATACTAGGATTTTTTTTTCAAGTTATCATTATATACAGTGCCTGTAGATTTAAATGTATTTTAGGCCAGAGAGACCCAGGAGAAATATGGCCCAGTCACCATTTTAGTGAACAATGCTGGGATAGTGAAGGGGGGCCATGTTCTGGAGGCCCAGTTTGAGGATATCAAGAAGACTGTACAGGTCAACACACTGGGAAATTGTTGGGTAAGGAAATACAGGGGGTATTTTTTTTTTTTTTTTTTTTTTTTTTTTT